AGAAAAAAGCCCATAATCAAAAAGTCTCCCATTTCAACACCAACAATAAATATGAGCCACATTCTCACCTCTTTAACTTCCTCATCTGTATGCAAAAGATTCAACTCTATTTATAGCATTGGAGTCCTAACAACCATTTTCACAAAGTGGATCTTCCTAAAATATGCTTCAAAAATTATTCCCTTTTGCATCTGGAATGTTTTGGTCAACAGTGCCAAATCAACTATAAATATGTGGGGGCATATATATGTGGGGCAAATTACACACAAATTGAATATGACGATAGTCATTGAAGATGGTTCCAAAAAAGTGCTTTTGATAATCTACAGATAACAGTCCACTCTTTCTTGGAACATTTTAGAATCCTCTTGCCCTAAAAATATCGCATTTTTAGCACACAATCATGCTATCCTCACAAATTGCAATTTGCCCCCTCAACAGAATAAGATTTTCATGTTATTTTGTGTATATATACATTAACCTGGTTTTTTCTGCCACATGTTTGGGAAAGAACTCCTAGAATCTTGTTTAGATGAGATTATACATGGAAATCATTGAGATGGATGAGAAGCCTATAGTAAGAAATATATTTCAGAATTTGGTTGAAAAGTCCCTGTGAAATTTTAATGGCTTTTCTATATGGGAATATATAATTGGTGTAAGATTTGTATAAGAGGTCTAATATCATTACAGTTTTGTTATGTATTTATTGGGCTCTGCAATTATATCAATATATGAAATGGAAGATGATATTCACAGGCAAACTGAAGGCGAATAAATAATGAGTATGATTTGTTCTCTATTGGGAAACAAATGCAGATTTTTGAATTGATTATTGAAGTTTCTATATTCCAACCTTGCCACGTCTATGTGGATAGTGACATGGTGATTTCCAATGAGGACATAACACCCGGCTTTGCTTCTGAATTCAAGGTAAATGTGAATAGGGTTTGAAAAGGTAGTAGAAATTAAAACGAATTCACTTGGTTGAGTGAGCATCAACAATATATTAATGAATGTAAGATGTAGATGAAACAATGAGAAATAATTTGATCTCATGGCTAGTTCATAGAATGATTCCTGCAAAGAAATACAAAAAATATTATTTTACTTTCTATGGAAAACACTAGAATATTTATTTCTGTATTCTGCATATGAACAAGAAACTAAACTAGCAGTTTGAGAGATATTCAAAAACTAATGAGAGCACATCATCAGTTATTTCCAAAAAATTTCATGCTTACTTCCACTTCTCTTCCCATTTAAATTTGATCATTGTATACAAACCTAACAAATAATGACCCTTGGAAACTCTCTGCCTCAACACATTGTAACTTCATTGAACATTTGAAGTGTGAACCTACTCAATCTATTAATTCAGCGATTATTTTACAATTCTTCAAAATTTACTCTAATATCACCCATTCAGGCTCAGCCAGGCCTTGACACAGTTTCTGACTAGGTCCTTGGCAATATATTCATGGATGCATCCATGCATCCATGAAAATAGGAAGAAATACTTCACGTGGTTGTACAGAAAAGAAAATCCAGAGTGGTTTTACTATATAGTGTTATTGCAATGAACTTAAGCCAACACTCCATTTCAATATTTGTGAATGCATGCATAAAAAGAAATCACAAGGAGAGATTGTTTTATGAGATATATCCTACCAATGGATACATGCTTTATGGACGCAAGTAAAATATGAAGGGATACCATGCAAATACCGTCAGTACAATTACAAGAAATATTCCATGGCTCAAACAAATAAACGGCTTTTCCATTCTTATTTGTGTACAAAACAAATTCTATTGTGAACTCATAAGTACATTGTGATGTTGTATCAGATAAATATATTCAGCAGTTCAGAAAAATAGTTAACCTTTAAGACACATATGCATGTCACCTCTCAGTAATATTGGACTCTCAGAAATATTGGACTTTGGAATGAACATAGAAAATTTCCATTAACTTAGGGTAACATTCCTGCATTAACACTGCTTTCTCAAATATGTATGGTTATGAGAATTATATGCCAGAGACATACCAACATTTGGAAAATATCACTTGGATCAAGCCCAGGGTAAGAAGCTTGAATATCAATGGCCCAAGCAAAGATTCAATACTCATTGACAAAAAAGACAAATGAAAAATCAATGATAACCTGTAATTAAGTAAAATCAAAAACTGAAGGCAGAAAAAATACCCTCACTTTTCAATTCCAAGAAAACAAAATAATGTGTGCAGCATCTACTTATGGGTATTGAAACAGAGTAGGAAAAAATGTACACCATTTCAGTTTGTACACACACATCACAACATTTCCACCCATAAATGGACAGGTAACAGACATATCTGATCACAAACACAGCTCACACACACACACACACACACACACACACACACACACACACACACACCTACACACACACCTACACACACACATATATATAATAGCAAAGCTACGGTTGGATAAATCTTGAAGAGCTACATCAACAAGTAGCATGGTGTTCTACACTCTCAGACTCAAGAATTTACAGGTTCTTTAGTATTATCTACATTTTAGATGCTAGAAAAATTATGATTCCATAAGCAAGACATATTCGCATAAGGGAACAGAATGAGTAATCCCATTAGAACATATTAAGTGTTCTACGAACCATTGAAGTAAGTAAATACCACTGTCTCATCAAACATTACTCTCTGAAATTCAGAGTGTAAATAAATGATATTATACATAGGGAATGAATAAAATCTAACTTGCTCCAAAGGAAAAAATTCAGAGTTTTTGGAAATACCAGTGAGTATGGGGCATTGTTGATGAATATTGCATTACATTCCTATCTTTGGTTATTGTTCTTGCTAGTCATTGGGCTTGAACTTTAGGCTTGGGCAAGGTCCCTGAGCTCCTTAGAGCTCTACTGTTCTACCACTTGAGCTACAGAGACGCTTCCAGTGAGGTGGTTAATTGGTGATGAGAGTGTGACAAATATTCCTGAGATCTGATCCTCAGATCTCAGCCTCCTACAGGTCCCTAAGCAACCTGTACCAGGCTTTTTTTCTCTGTTATCCAGAGTGTGCTGATGATTTTTGAGCTTGTCTGTTCCAAACATTTATGCACACGACTTGTCTACGAGTAACCATAGTTTTCCTTAAGTAGAATACATTCTATAGTATTCAATTTTGAGGGGATTAATTGCCAGAAATGAATCTGCAAAATATCCTTCCTTAATCTATAATTAGATCCTTATGGGTCAAACATGTGAGATGCTAGAATTAACATTATCACCTGGCCTGCCTCAAGAATGGTTTGCTACTCCAAAAATAGTTTTCCACGACATTTTCATTTTCCTCTGCGTGACAGAGGATGAGAAATTCCATAACCCCAAGAATAAATGTATTGGGTTGATCAAATACTAATTGATCTGTTCAGTTTGTAAACAGGATTTTTAGTCTCTGCTATAATCTTTATGAATTAGCAAATTGTCACCAGATGCAAGGGTGCATTTATCTATTACTATTATTCCTACTCAGCACTTTTTTCACTATATAAACTGCCAATGCATCCTTCACCTAATATTGTAATATGTTCGACATACAACAGATATTTGAATAAAAATAATTAGTATTCTTACTACCATTTCACAGGAAGAATATATGAGGCCTGACTGTGAGGACAGGCTCACATAAATTCAGCTTGGTCTTATGTTGAATAAGCTTTTTTGGGGGAGGTCCAGTCATGGAGCCTGAATTCTGGGCCTGGACGATGTCCCTCATCTCTTCCGCCTAAGGCTAGCACTCTACCACTTGAGCCACAGCACCACTTCTTGCTTTTTTCCCTTTTGCTTATGTGGTGCTGGGGAATCAAAACCAGGCCTCATGCATGCAAGGCAAGCTCTCTACCACTGAGCCACCTTCCCAGACATTGTTGTTGTTTTTTTTTTCTAGACTGATCCGAGATGAAAATTCTTAACATTATCAATACATCTAGAATATATTGTCTCACAAAAAGGAAGAGGTCTCATATTGGCAAGCAAGACAAAAGAGATGATTCCAAATTAAATAAATGCTTATGAAGAATTCCAAGAAAACCCAATTACTGTTCACTTTTTCCTCTATTTGCCACCTTACCATGTCAGAGAGACTTGATGTGTTCAAATTCCATAAAATCAAGAATATAACCTCTTTTGTGACTCTAGAAGGACAAGTTCATTCTAGTAATTAAAATTCTTTAAACAATCGCACAAATACTCCCTGAGATAGAATAACTTTTGTAGTTACACCTCTAATTTTGAATTTCCCATCTATACCATATCTAATGTGTATTTATACTTTAAACAGCAATGTGAAAATTGAAATCCATGTATGTAATTCTGTTAAAAATAGCTATAAATACATTTTATTAATATGTATCTTTGAAAAGTGAAAATTGTTAATCATCTCAAGAATCCTCAAATATTTTATACTAATTTATGGAGAAAATTTAAATCAGATAGCCATTCCTATAATGTTCATTAATGAATTTCAGAAGGTAGACATATTAACCCACCCATAAGTCTGTAATTTTATCAATTACCAACTGAAGATACTGCCATTTACACTATAATAATTGATGTGATGGGTGAATCCTGAAAACATGAAAATGGTTATAAAAAGATGGGCCCAACATAATACTGTTATCTACAGCTTCCCTGATTTAAATTTATTATAAGAGAATGAGAAGAATATACAGATAAAGTAATCTGATTTGAAGTATTTGGGTGATTGCATTTTGTGTCAGTCCTAGTGAAACTGTATTTGATTTTGCCACCTATCACAGGTTCACCAGTTCAGAGAGCAATCCAAAACTTCCTTTGTAGTGAGCAAAATATATGGTTATATAGAAGAACAAGTTTTTTATTCATTTATCCTTTTTCTTTACTTTGAATTTTAAAAGACAATAGTACATCAGAAGAAAACCATTTTCTTTACCTGTTGTTGCCAGATGATTTGATTGTGCCCCAAACAAAACTTGGGCTAGGATCTTCCAAGGATTCTGCGAAAGGGAGAATTACATACTTGACTGGGGTGCTAGAATACATTGGCTCTAACATTATACATTGATAAAGAAGAACAACAAGGTTGTTGTCCCCAAGAGACCCCCAAGAAACTTTTAGCTGGATAATAAAGACTGAAATGTATGAATTCTTACCCATGTGCAACTACATGTCATTTAAATGTTTGACATGGTTTTTAATCAGTTAAGACTGCATATTTTCATATATGTTATTGATATTAGCATACAAGACAATCAAAATTGAACAAAGAATTTTTAATTTCACTACTAAGGGAAGAAATGATACAACAGTACAAAGTAAGTTGAGAGTAAATAATGGAAAATGCAGGAAGTTCAACAAGCTTTTTACCTTTATCCCAGTCTTCCTCAGAGGACACACATTGCCATGTACTTTCAGAACTCTTGGATTGTTTCTCATTCCATATGATGTTATCTACAAACAAAGAGAAAACTAGCATCACAATAGGATGCAGGTGCAAAGGGCCTACACTGATTTGGATTGTATTTTAATTATCAAGCTTACCTACATCATCTTCAAGGGAAGTTTTGTCCATACAAGTTGCAATATGTTCAGTGAGTTGATCTCGTGGAACCAGGTGACGAGCATTAAAGGGACAAGTAGCCAATTTGGCAGCAATGTCAGGATGATTCTGTATAACAAAAGTTCAAATATGAAGAATCATTTTAAAATTTTCACTTTTTAGATTACTTTGTTCAGGATATATACCATAGGCTTGACACCAAGGTATAGGTATTGTGCTAGTACATTCTTTTTTTAATACATATTTTTTATTGTAAAGATACTGTACAGAAGGATTACAGCTATATGAATATTGTAATGTGTACATTTACTATGGAGCATTGTTACTCTCTCCTCTTTTTTTCCCTAAGATCTCTTCCCTCCTCATCTCCCCCACTCCTCTCCTCTACCCCTCACCCACACAGCTTAAGTTGTAAAGTTCATTTTCAAGATAGTGACCCATTGTTACAATGGGTCAACTTGTATCCCACACAGTATGGAGGTTCATCAAAAGACTCCACATTGAGCTTCTCTGTGATCAAACAATCCCTATTTGATTATTTACCCAAATGAATACAAGACGATACTAAAAATACCACCATTATTTGTCATAGCTAAGATATGGAACCAACCCAGAAGCCCCCCAGTAGATGAGTGGATTAAGTAAATGTGGTAAATACATGGAAAATGGAATTCTATGCCTCTATCAGAAAGAATGATATTGCTCAATTTATTGGAAATGGAAAAACTCAGAAAAAATTACATTAATTGAAGTAAGCCAGGCTCAAAGAAACATAGGTCCATTGTTTCCCTTATTTGGAAAAAACTAGTGTACATTTAGGATAAGCAGAAATGTTCAAAAGTGATGTACAGAGGCTTATAAAAAATGAACTCTGCAATTAAAGAGAGGGTTAAGGCAGGGGTAGAGTATAGTTGAGAGGTTGGAATGAAGGTCAGAAAGAAGTACATTGCGCCATTTGTTAGGAAATGGAAAGACTTGGAAAAAATATTAAGTGAAGTAAGCCAGGCCCAAATAAACATAGGCCCCATAGTTTCCTCAATTTGCAATAATTAGTATATATCTGCGATAAGCAGCAAAGATCAGATAAGATGATGTTAAGCGAAGTGGACCCAAGGTTAGGGACAAAGGTTTTTAATTTTCCTCCTTGGTATTGTTTCTAACCTATTTAAAAGAGACAATGTGCTTTTTTTTGTTGTTTTGTATGTCCCTCTCCCATGGTATAATCCCTGTGTTCACTGTATTGAATGTTGGTTTAATTTCAGTAGGGTTAGAGAAATAACAAAATGTTTATATAACTTGACCCACTGCCACAATCAGATGTACAGAACCTTATTTTGAAATGCAAACTTTACAATTTCGGCAGAGGTGGAGATGGGACTGAGGGGATGTTGTTGAAGAGTTGGGAGGGAGAGGATAGTAGCAGAAAAATAAAGGAGGAGGAAACAATGTTGGATAAGAAATACACTCATTAATTGTAACCCTTCTGTACAGTATTTTCACAGTAAAAATTTATTTAAAATATGCTATACCAAAAATGAACTTTATCATTTAAGACGGGTGCGAGCGTGGTAAATGTAATTCTGGAGATGGGGGAAGGGATGGCAGTGGAAACTCAACGGAGGAGGCAACAATGTTTGATAAGAAAAATACTCATTAGCTTACTCCTGTATCTGTAACCACTCTGTAAAATATTTTCACAATAAAAACTTATTTAAAAAAAGATGATAAATCAAATACGATAGGTATACAAGTGGTTTTTTTTTCCCTTTTTGGTATTGTTTTTCACATATTTTTAATGAACTATTTGATTTTTTTCCCTTTGGTGTGTTCCTCCCCATGGTAGAACCCCTGTTTTCACTGTATTTGATTCTAGTGCACTGCATTGTGTATATATTTATCTAATTTGGGGAGGGGAAGGTAAAAAAAAAAATTGTGCATCCGTTTGCAAAGGGCTAGACTTCTACAATTTTCATAAAACTTCTTCTATTCTCTTTTGAGAGGGGAGATAAGAAGGTTTATGACTCTCCTGCATGGGCTGGCATTAAAAAAATGATACAGTGATATCAAACTCTCAGGTTGATATTATTTCTTTAATGAGGAAATAGGGCCAAGACACCCATAAATTCTATATGGAACTTTAGAAATGCACATAAGTGTTCAATTTTGGCCTATGTTTACTCAAATATGGGTTATTTATATAAAATATAAATTTGAAAATATCCAAAATGGAGGATCATCACATGTGTCCTCTTATAAACAAAATAGCAGAAACTATGAATTTCCTACAGCTCTGAAACTTATTGTAGCAGTGCTACATGAAGAAAAAAAGTAATTTTCTACCCACAGTTCAGTGAACCTTCAAGTATTGTGTAATTTTTGATGAAAATAAGAGCAATTTTATAATAAATACCTTCAATATAGAAAATAGACACTATGCATCTCCCATTTTATGTTTATAAACATGGCATGAAAAGTCCAGTACTCCAACTGAATTCTAGACCATAAAATACAGCGGTTGTTTTAAGAAAATAATTTAAGAATAACTTAATTTACATTTTGTACATTAGGCAGTGGGGAGGAAAACGAAACCACCTCTAATATTTGTGAGGTATGTAAAGGTCTCTGTATGTTATTTTCACAATAAAAAGACAGAAAAAAAGAAATATGGCACACAGAGTTAGACATAATTACCGACACAAAACATTTTGCCTTTGTTCTGCTTTGAATGGAGATCTAGAAATATGACTCTAGAAAAAAATTGGATTAGGATTGTCTTACTTTCCATTACATGCTGCAGAGATTTCAGAAGAAATACAAAAATCTCACTATGGTATTTATGCCTACATTCTCTCACATTTTCACATATATTTCCTACAATTTATTATAAAAACAATACTCAAATTTATCCATGAACTAAAGAAATTATGTAATATCAACATGTTCCAGTGAAACATTACCTCTTTGCATTTCACAAGATGGTATGGGAACCTGCATGATCTGATTTTGTGATTTTTATCATAGGGACACTGCAACAACCTCTCAGGATCCACAGATTCCTCTGAAAGAGAATAAATACCTCGGGAAAAACAATATATTTGGGAACATACAAGTCTTCAATGTTGCTTCCATTATTAACTAGACCTTAACTCAGGAATCCTAATTTGGGGCATATAGATTCAAAATATGACAAAGAGTATTACTCTGGAATTTAACTTCTGATGTATTCTCAGTTCCTATTAGTTAGTTCTTAATTTTTATTATGAAAAATATTTATTCTAGTTGAAAAAATATTAATTTGAGTCAAATGGAGCTCTTAGCATGTTTTATCTTCTGAAAGCAAACATCCATTGAGCGCCCTTGATTTAATTACTTTCTTACATTTCAATCTAGAATGTGCCCATAATTTATATTCTTTTTCACCTTTCAATCTAGAACATCAAAAGTCAAAGTTATAATTATCAAAATGTCTAAAGTTTCAGATTCATATCATGACGAATCCTATTATCCTATTCTCTCAGTTCCTGTCAATATACTTTCTGTGATTCCAAACAAGAAAAAAAAAATAGCATGAACTAGACCATTTAAAATAATTTTCAAAACAAATGCTTAAACATGTTTACCTTTTTCCATTGTGACAGACAGATATATATAAGCAATTCCTGCGGATAAAAAAAAAAAAAAATACAATTCTCTGAGAGAAAACAAGACTAAATACTCCAAAACCACATGTCTTAAATGTTGTGATTTTGCCGTTGATATGAAAAACAAGTGGGTAGAACCTCTTCATCTCTAATACTTTTTTTTGCTAGACACACTTGTATTGAAGTATATTGATAACTGTTTACTTCACAAATTATGGTCACTTATAGTAAGCTATAGAATGGTATAATCTTTGAAGTCAAAATTAATTTCATATTTTTCATACATTTTTCTTCAACATACAAAAACAGAGGATAATGCATCATGACAACTTTTAAGCGAATGGGGAAAAGGTTTCTAAGTTATTGGTGTCTGAATTAACAAATTCTAAATTCCATTTTACAACCATCTAATACCTATTGAAAATCGGTACTTGTCTGAAGGAGGATTTTCCTTTTTCATAGATATATCGTGATTCCTATTCAGATTATAAGATCAGTATGGAGTATTATTCAGGTAACTGATTCTTAGAGAATATATGCATCACAAAGCAAAGGAATAATTGAGACTAGTAAGAATCAAAGTTTGAGATGGGTGCTGTCATTCAATAGGTAGTAAATTTTAGTAGTACAGTGTCTAGTGGCCATGAAGCAGAGCCAGAAGACATTACACTATGACTAACTCACATAAAATTGAAGTAATAAAAGTAAATTTTAAATACCCCAAAATGGAAACATGTGTTTTCCTAAGTCTAAGGAAGTAAAGAAGTTTCATTATTTTACCAATGAAATAATACTGCCTAGTTGGAGAAAACTATAAGAACTACATTTGGGATGTCAGCGAGACATGTCTCAGTCACATACAAAAAGATGATTTACATGTCTATGTCATAGAAGTCGGAAAAGAAATCTCGGGACTGTTACCTTTCTCCTTCAGTTAACTGGATTCACCAAACCAGTCAGGATGTCTTCCTCCCCAGGTCAGACGATGTCCCACTAGTAGGTTTTCCACAGCAACATCTACTTCTCTATAATGACTTCTCTACATGGGGCCAACGCTATTGTGATGTAGTTCCTGAATCTAACTTCCGTTTTACCAACTGATGGAATTCAGAGATACTTCCGCATATGACAACGGAAGTGCTGACTTCCGGCTAGAACCCGGAAGACAATGTCCCATTTCTTTGTGGTATGAATTGTTGTACTTCAATTCAGTATAATAGAAATGGGTGAGTATTCAGTAGAGCACTAATGTGAACGGATATGTCACAATTTTTATCTACACACCAACTACTGGTTCTGTGTAAATTGTCCTGCCCACACATCTGTAAACTTACTATGGCTTATATAGCCACAATAAGTCATTCTTTATGTGTTATTCTTTCCTTGTTTAGATTCTTTACAAATCAATATTTTTATTAGGAGACAGTTTCACAAAAAGACTCTTAGAGAAATTAATCACCTTCTGCCAAAAACGTTCCTTAGCCTTCCTTGTAGATAACATGGATCTTTGTACATATTTCTTTTAGTTCACATTTTTGATAAAAATTAATTTAAAGTAACATTGATGTTTTCTCGGATTTCACAAAGGAAATAGTCACAAATATTAAATGAAAACAGCAAGAGAAAAACAAGTTCCCAGATGAATTTCTTCATTTATATACCATATATTTCACTTACAAAAATATTAAAGTTACTACATACTATACAATAAACTATAAAAACTATACAAAAATCCTTGTGAATGTATGGCTTTAGGAATGCCTTTGCATTATTTAATCACCAATAACATAAGCTACATGCAAATTTCCTGCACTATAACTTTCAATTACAGAATTTGCAACTCAAGAATCTATTGACAGGTTTATGTAGAACAACATAAATTCATTTAGATTTTAATAAAATAGGAAGTTATTATGCCAGGTTTTGGAAAGGTGTATTGAAGTGTTTCTGATATATAAAAGGTGGTACAACATATAGGTCACATATTATGTAGATTTTATATCATCATTTTTCATAAACACCAAGTCATTTTATTTAAAAATATGCCAAGTTTTTGTTATACCCTAAGGAAACTTTGTGCATTTTGTATATCGTACTGGCAAAGATCTTCATTAACAAGTAGACAATTGGTGCCAGGGGCTTACAACTCTAATCCTAGATTTGTATTGCAGTCCAAAATGCAGGAAAACCCAGTGATTCAACTCCAATTGCTTAGAAAACCCGAGTGCATTATCCTAAAATAAGTATGTATAGGAACAAACTAGCATAAATTAAACTATTTGATGATATAATAATGAGGCCAGGATGTTTTTGGTCTATAAATTTGTCTGTTTTGAATAGCTGTTTTTTTTTGTTTTTTTGGGGGGGGGTCCGGTCGTGAGGCCTGAACTCTGAGTCTGGGAGCTGTCCCTCAGCTCTTCAGCTCAAGGCTAGCGCTCTACCACTTGAGCCACAGCGCAACTTCCGGCTTTTTTCTTTTTGCTTATGTGGTGCTGAGGAATCGAACCCAGGGCTTCGAGCATGCAAGGCATGCAAGGCTGAGCCACCTTCCCAGCCCCTTGAATAGCTGTTTAATGATTCTGAGGAACTGAAACATTTCAGTATTTCTATCGGTAGAAAAATATAAAAAATGGTTTAAGATAATTGAAACAAGGACAGACACTGGTGTCTCATGCCTGTTCCTAGCTATTCAGGAGGCTGAGATCTAAGGATGACGGTTCAAGGCAAACCTGGGCAGGAAAGTCCGTGAGACCCTTATCTCCAATAAAGCACTAGAAAACTAGACGTGGTACTGTGGTTCCAGTGGTAGAGTGCTTGCCTTGAGCTGAGGAGCTCAAGGACAGCGCCCAAGGAAATACTTCAGCCCCATGACCGACCAAAAAAAAAAAAAAAGATAATTGAAAATAACCAACATGGGAGAGAAAAATAAAAGACCGGTTCCGGGAAGATGGTGGAGGAGAAGCTGGAATCTGAACAAGCTCTCGCATAGAAAGCAGTTTTAGAGTTCCAGTGAACAGTCCTAAGCCAGAGAATCACACAAAGTGTGCCATCACAGGACAGAGAGTTAGACAAGAGAGGGGAAGCCAATACAAGGAGACACATCTGAGCGCCTGCCAGCAGCCGCGGCGGCGGCAGCAGGGTCGCAGCGGCGACCGCAGCCGCGGCCATACCTGAGCGCTCACACAGAGAGTCCGGGACGAAGGAGCCAGACGCAGCGGGTGAGAGGATTCTAATCAACACCAGCAAGAACCGACAAGGACCGGACAACTTCATCCTGCACTTTGCAGACCAGAGACGACCCAGGATCCAAGACTCGGCGTGAGTAGAAGCCCGACTTCCTCACTCCTTCTCAGGGAGCAGAGGAGGGAAGGCCAGCCCTCCCCCCCCAGCACCGCTGATCTCCATCTTGGATACCGACAAAGCTTGGAGGAGCTGCTAGCTCCAACTCAGGCCTTGGAATAAAATGAGTCATTTAACAGGTCACAAGAACTTAACGGCAAAGTGACCTGCCAGACTCAGTTCCATCCAGGGAAAAGTCACCCAGCTCAGGCACCAGCCATTGGAGTGGCTTTCCTCACTGGGTAACCAGAGCCAGAGGCTGCCCCTCCCTCTAGCAGCCACCACAATCAATTGAAAAACAGAAACTCTGAGAATGGCTCCAGGGTGGGCTCTGTGAATTTTTCACAAAATAGCCCCAGGGAAAAGCTACTGTTTTTTGAAAGGCCTCAACTCTACCAAAACCTAGCCTCATCACCCCTCTTTTGTGATTCTCAAAGCAGATCACCCTCCCATTAAACTAACCTGGGAGGGGGAATCTCAAAATCTTGGGTAAAGCAGAGCATTTTCCTGCCTGTTCGCCCAAACTGACTTAAGAAACTAATCAAGCCACAGGACCTCAAGCTGACCAGAGACTCCAACAAGAGGCTGGTAACAGACAAAAGGGAGATACAGGATTCTTCCCACCCCTCCCAAAAAAAAAATCAAAAAAAAAAATCAAAGTACTTTTTTTTCATCTTTTCTTTTTTCTTTTCTTTTCTTTTTTTTTTTTTTTGGTCCCTTATATAGATAATTTTTTTTCCTTTTCTAAAACTTTTATTAATCTTTAATTTTTGCCTTTTTTGAAAAAATAATTGTTTTCCAGTAACTTTTTTTCCCTCTGATAATTTTTATTTTAGGAATACGTGAATGTAAGTTTTCCTTTCTTTTCTTGTCTTCTCTCTCTTTTTCTTTCTTTCTTAATTATCTTTTTGTTTTTTGTCTAGCTCTACTGAACTTCTGATCTTTTTTTCTCCCTTTCTTATCCTTTTCACCTTTTCCTTTCTTTTGTTCTTCTGTATGTGACTTAACTCTTGTCCTGCACATCCTCAGATAAACCCATAGTTAACTAGTAGACCCTATCCCCCATTGTGTACACACTTAATCCACAAATTTATTACTCAATCCAAAACCTCTGAGACTTAAATTCCTTAATAGCAGTACTACCTCTTTATACCTATATAATATTTTAAGCATTTTTTAAGTTTTTCACATCTCCTCTATCTCCCTCCTGTTTTCTCAATATATTCACATTCCTCTCTAAATAGATGGTCTTTCAATCTCCATAACTATATTAATTTTTACGTTTCTAATTTTTTTTTTCTGGTCCCTTTTCATTTCCCTTTCCCTTTCTTCTTTTTCTCTCCCTCTCTACTTGCATCCTACCCAACCTATTTCCTGCATTGAGATTAGGACATAGTTAACTCTCCCTGTGCCTCCCCACACCAATCTATTCCTAATTTTTACCCACATCTCTCCCTAACCCTAAAAATTTCTGGTTTTCCAAATTCTTCTCTGCGGTTCGAAGCCCATTAACATATAGTTGTTTGATGTTGAATAGATATATCTGTTGAACCACATTGTATCTGTAGACTATTGACTGTATAAATGCAAACGTTGGTTGATGGTTGCCTTAAGATAGTGTTCTAGCACAAAACTGGTGCTATTTTCATC